AACTTTTCGACGATTCACTTTTGGGGCATTTGCATCAAATCGTCGTGTTTGTTCCATCGAAATACAGCGAATATTCATTCGATGGAATGTTGTTTCTTTACGCTAGTGGTGCGAAATTCTTCGAGGCCGGAATTTCGCAATGCTTTCGTAATGTGAATCTAAAACTCCCGTAGTGCCTCACTTATTTCGAATATCGGTGCCATTTTATGATGCCCAGTCGATCTTGGGATGTTTGACTTAGTACGTCGATGCTTGGGACGTAAAAAATTTGACTTTTTTGAGGGTATGATCGTATTTTGAAAATACGGTTGAATGTTCCTCATTTTCAAGGGTATTGCTTAATGTTGCAAAATTGCTTTGAATGCGATGTTTTGCAATGTTTTTACGGCAATAAGATCTGTAAAGCAAAGATTTCGAAATGCTTATCTCTATCGGAACAAGCCGTTTACTCGAAACGTTATTCGTGTTTCGTTATATTATGGTTTGTTCACTAGATTGTCTCGCCATTCTGTTGAAGTACGAATAGCAACGAATACTCAGGAATAGAAATTATTTGTGTTTACAAATGTGATATGGTTGGTGGTGAATCATCACTTGGTAACGAAGAAAATTGATGGAATGATCTAGTTTGAAGCGTATTACGCCCGTATACAGATATTAATGTTAACGGAACGGTGTAGGTATACGCTTCATTTCGCTTCATTAGCATCAATTGATTTGGAACGGAAGGAGTTGACTCGACTCAGTACGGTTCAGCTTCTCAATAATGATTCGGCTATGTGCCTATTACTATGTTGTCTATTCATATTTCATGTGTATGAATGAGTCTTATTCTCATGTCTACGCTATTGAAATAGGAAGATGAATTAGCAATAGTGGTAGTGTTAGTCGAATGAGGAGGAAACCGTATGATGTCGATGTATTACATATATGTGAATGTTCATATGCGTATATACAGACGTACGTAGTACCGAGTGATTGTTGAAAATCGTTGCCACGTATGCTGTATATTGTATATGCTCTTCGTTTCACGTATATGTATATAAAATAGAAACGACGGCTTTCGTATTATGCATATTTTCATACATGATGATAATAGCGTATGAAAGATGAAAAGTGTCGTTTTCGATGTGTTGTTGATGTTGTGATGCATAGAGGAACAAGCATGCCCTACGCGCACATGCATACATATACACATATCACGTCCCCGATTGATTCTGTCGGCGGTCATATGCTTATCTCAAAGGCTAAGCCATGCATGTCAAAGTTCATACTGCCTTAAATGGTGAAACCGCGAACGGCTCATTACAACAGCTATTATTATATACTTGATCTTGATTTCCTACGTGGATAACTGTGGTAATTCTAGAGCTAATACATGCACCAAAGCTCCGATTTTATTGACGAGCGCATCTATTAGATTAAAACCAATCGAGCTTTAAACGGCTCGTTAATTGGTGACTCTGAATAGCTTAGCTGATCGCATGGTCTAGTACCGGCGACATATCTATCAAGTATCTGCCTTATCAACTTTCGATGGTAGTTTATGTGCCTACCATGGTTGTAACGGGTAACGGAGAATAAGGGTTCGACTCCGGAGAGGGAGCCTGAGAAACGGCTACCACTTCCAAGGAAGGCAGCAGGCGCGCAAATTACCCACTCTCAGCAAGAGGAGGTAGTGACGAAAAATAACGAGACCGTTCTCATTGAGGCCGGTTATCGGAATGGGTACAATTTAAACCTGTTAACGAGGACCTATGAGAGGGCAAGCCTGGTGCCAGCAGCCGCGGTAACTCCAGCTCTCAAAGTGTATATCGTTATTGCTGCGGTTAAAAAGCTCGTAGTTGGAATCCCCAGGCTGGGAGCATCATGCGCGTCGGAAGACGCGGTATTATTTATATGTTTACAAACTATTGTTTTTTTCATTATTGTATCAAAAATATCAGATCCTTTCACCATAGAGTCACTTGAGAATAGAGTTACAGGTGGGTCCCCAGCAGCCACCCGGATTTTTGATATAATAGCAGGTTTACTCTCGCCAAAGACAAAAAATTAAATTTGAGGAAAATAATAAAATAGACAATGAAATTAAAAAATATATATATACATATATATGACTGTATGTATATATATATGAAATATATATATATATATATATATGTATATATATATATATATAAATAAAATTTAATTGGTTTGATTTAATTTAATTGATTTAATTCCAATTTATTTTATTTTAATTTTAATCGTTGTTTGGTAAAAAAAAAGTTAAAAGTTTAAATAGACTTAGCTGAATTGTGATTAGAAATGAAAAAATAAATTCACAAAAATAAATCGAGAGCATTTTTTGAAACGACCGCTCAAACAAAAATTTTTTGAAAATACAAATAAATGAATTTTTCACATCTTTTTGTACCATTTGTCGAAATGATCCTTTTTGATGTATATTCTTATATTCTAAGAAAACTCCTTTATGAACTTATGTTTATAGGCCTTTACTTTTATTTTAGTTGATCTAAGCAGCATTCAATATAGAATAACAATTTGTAAAACAATTTCATAATTTGTTAATATAACTGTTTCTAAAAAATTTAAGGTATAAAAATTTTAAGGTATAGGTAGATCCATCCAAATTAGTCGAATAAGCGCATTACAGAAAAATTTCTTGTTGTTTGACAAAATTAGACCTAAAATTCGAAAACTGGAAACTCGGTGCTGTGATCTTGGTGACCTTTATTTTTATTTTCAAGCAATTTTTTAGCAAAAGAATCCCCTTAATAGCCAGTATAACTACAAACCGGAAATATTGAGCGATATCAGAAAATGAAGAAAGCATTTAAAATTTCATTTGATATTTTATATTTTATATTTGTCCTTATAGTTCATTGATAATATTCAGATGAATATTTCATGAAATTTAAAATAATATTTTCTTTTTATGGAGAGACATTGTAAAATTGCTAATAAATGCGCAATTTTTTTCCGACGATGCAATTAGTTTTGTTTAGATTTCATGTTCCATCCCGACAAAGAAAAAATTAAAAATAAATGAAAGAGAAATAATAATAATCCTGGAAAATTTCTCATCAATTTCCCACCTTCTTCAATCATTTTATTAATTTTCAAAGACGAAATTTCATGAAATTTAAAATTAAACACAATAATATTGAAACAGAAAAAACATGAAGCAAAAAATTTGATGGAATGTTAGTGAATTTTTCAGGAAAAATTTTTGAATAAATTTTTGAATAGTTCTGCATAAATATCCACTTATATCCCATTTGCCTTTTTTAACTTCGCTTATATCATCATATTAGTCTAAAAATTTCATTAAAAATCGTGGATTAGAGGTTTAGACTTAGACTTAGATTTTAAACACTTCGAAGAATATGGTGGCAAATGAGTTTTTCATCATCGTACTCAATATGTTCAACGACAACCGTTGAATTCTTTCAAGAAAATTCCGCAATAGAAATAGTGATTTTATCATCGTAAAAAAGTAAGGAAGTAACTTTAATTATTGAGAAGAAGTAAAAAATTTCTCAGGAATATTTATGCAAATTGGCACTTACCAAAGTAACATTGGACATGCTTTCCGTTAAGAAAACAATTTTTTAAAAGAAATCCTCGTTCAGCACTTATTTTTTCCATTCAGCCTGCTCAATTTTTACTTATGTATCAAATCAAATCAATTCATCCTATGAGACTGGTTAAAAGCGGAGATATATAATCCTCTTTCCAACCCTGATTTGTTTATCCCATGTTCCTAGTAATGTCTTTTGATTGAAAAAAAGTGCTTAAAGCCTAACAATTTCTAGTTTATACCAGCTCCATTGGTGCAGTTAAAATTTTTTGATAAGGAATCAATTAACGATAGAATTTTAGATAAGGTTCCATTACCACCCAGATTTCTTAATGATTGCATTTATTCCGGTCAGGAGCCATTCTATAGCCCACCTCCTTCGCTTTTATTGAAAGATAAGAGAGAAATATAGGGAGTCAAATAAATTTTCATTTTGTTGATATTGCGAAATTTTATCATCTCGTAAATCCATCCATAGAACTTTCATCGAATGAACTGTGCTGGGCAAGTAGCTTCAAGCATTAAAAGATTAATTTGCAAAAAATTTTCAGTTGTAAGGACATCGATATAACCTTGATTTTCTTGATTGCTTTCTTTCAGATATTCTTGTTGGATATAGTATTCCTGTTTCGCGAAACCTTCAAAATTTAAAAACATAGATATAAATATAAATATATATGAAAGATTATAGATATATATGAAAGATTGAACAAAACAGTAGCAAAAAAAATCAAGACAGAAGCATATCTTCTACTCAATTGATTTATCGACGTTGGGTTCTCTGAAAATTTCTATGAAAATAATCAAAGCTATCAAAAAATGAAAAACCTGGAAATAATTTTTGATACACATCCATGTGATATGCATAATTGTTTAGAGATAGCATTAACCTTAATTCCATTGTTGTATAATTCAATAATTTGATTTCTCTCTTTCATACTTAAGGGTCTTCCAGGACAATATGGTCGACCATATGAGTTCATGCCTAAAATAGCAGAAGATTTCGTTTCCAGTCCTTCGGCCATAAAATTTTTCTAGATTAACCGATAATTTCTATGCAAAATTAGCAATAGAAAGAAAACAGCAATATAATAAAAATCGGATTTAGAATATTTCTTTCAAAAACCTTTCATTCTCCGATTTGTGTCCTTCTGATTCAGTGAACTTCCAAAATTATTTTCATTTTCGTCTAACAAATCTTCATTACGCGATTTTTCTCCGCTATTAACCAAGCATTCGTCATTAAATGTTTTGATTCCCTAAAGGAAGTTGTCAATCAATCGAAGTTGTATTCTAACTTTCCATTTTTTTGACTATCATCAAAGAATACGCCATGTCAGTAGAAAAAAATCATTCCCAATTGTCTTCTTTTGACCGAAATGCTAATTTATTTTATCTTTATTTTAGTTGATTTCGCACTAATTCAATTTGAATCTATTCTCTCAATGCTTTCAAAATCAGTGCCAGAAAAGCGCAAAGACAAGTGAAATATGCCCAAATAAATAAAATAAATTTTAACTTAATTTCGTTAACTTTTTTGCCATTTTTAATAAAATCCGTATATTTGATTCAGATTAGTATACATTTTCATGCTCATTGCGATACTTTAAAGTCGAACTATAAATCGTGAGACTAAAGGATTTTGCTTTATGATTTGTAAAAGTTTCATTATTGGTATATTGCATTAAAATTTTAATTCTTCGATTCCTCTTCATTTGATCCAAATTCATTAAATTGAGAGAGAGTCAGAAAATTACATAGTTCAAAAGAATTAACCTTGAGCCAAGCATTAAAACCTTGTGCAGTGGTTTCTGGCGTAGAAGTATCAATAATACAACCACAGTTGATAGGTTTACCACCATCACCAGTAGCACTATGATTATTGTTGTTCTTGTTAGGTATCGTAATGAAATTTAGATTATCGTGTATCGAATCGACAAAATAATCAAAAAAATTGAAATAATTTCGATTTTGATCCATAAAATAAAAGTGCATTGATAGTGTTAAGCGTAAATGAAAAATTAATTTATTGAAGTTCGAGAAGTCTGCGAACTACTAATAGGAGCAATAAAAATAGTTGAAAAGCAATATGTTTATTTTGCAACAATATATTTTAAAGTTGCATAGAGTCGTATTTTGACATATTAATGCCAATTTCAATAAACCTGAATCTGAAATAACTTTTTGTCAAAATCAAAAACTTGGTGGTTGAATTTTGAATTCTTACAGAGATTCATTTTTTATTTATTTTTCGTGTAAAAAAAGAAAGAAATGGTAAGAATGAATTTGAAATACAAAAGCAAATTTTACGCACAATTGGCTCATCTACGAAACAGTAATTAGCAATGATTCTTTTATACTTCCTATGCGTGGAATTAATCCCGTCGGATGGTTGAGTGATACATTCGTGTGATGCCGAGAAACATGGGGTTCTCTGCCGATCTAGAGAAATCCAAATAAATATTAAGGATATCCGTACTTCTATGTCTATACGTCTCAATTAATCGGCCAAAAATTTAAATAGTTAAAAACAGAAGAAATTTTTGTGCCATCACAAAGAAGTTTCAAACTCGAAATTTAAGAAAAATTCACCCTGCATTGCATTTATAGAATTTAAATATACATGTTTTCGATCTGTCAATAAGCATGGATGACCGTAGGAGTTAAATTAATGTACGCATTCCATTCTAAACTAGAAACGATATCGAATGTAACAAATCATGAAAATTTGAAAAATTTCGAACAAAAATATAAATATATTTACATTTGAAATATTTTTTTGACTTTCGCAATAGAAATCTGCAATGGTTCCATCCTAAATAAATCTACTTTCTTTTTTTTCGTGATATACTTCGGAGACCTCGTATTTTTCACGTCAGATTTATGTAATTTTGAGAATAATTATGGTAAAAATTCATTTAATTTTTAGGAAATATTTAACCAGTTAATCAGCTGTGACTAATCATTTCTTTTTTATTTTCATTATCAATGATTATATTAATGTTAAGGCTTGCCAGTCACTCATCAAACACGTTTTCAAGCATATTTCTTTAATTTTAATAGAAAATTTTCAAAAAAATCAAACAAGTTTTTAACGAAAAAAAATGAAAAAATTTAGCAAGTTTGCCAACCTTTTATTAATATAAAGAGAAGAAAAAAAATTCCCAACAAGAAATTTTTTCAAGTTAGAAAATTAATGTCACACAAATATGCAACAGACCTGTATGCTAAATATTTATCAGCGAGGACAAGATTCGCACTAATTTGCTGGCTGTATAAGTGTACGATGAAAAGAAACGTATAACAATGGCACTATCGTTGAAAATACAGAAACTGAAGCAATGCGACATCGATGAACACAACTTTTGGTAGCGAATGCCAAATTCTCGGTGAAATTTTTGCGATGAATAATCAAAATTAAAATTTCATTTTCCATTTATTATAAGTATATTAGTGAGGTACAAAATGAGTTAATATTATTCAATTTGCATCAAACTATGAGTACAACGGTTTTCCAGTGAGCATGATAATGAAAATACATTTTATTATATTTTATTATCTACTACTAAACAAATTATTCACCTTTTGTTGGTGCATCGGTGTTAAAAGCACACCGAAAGTCGAGAATGGCTTGTGTTCAAACCTGACACTATCAGTGACAGTGTCGCTGAATGGCAAAGGAAAGACAAAGTGGTTCAGTGGGCTTAGTCCGGAGCACAAATGAAGAGGCTTCATGCCCGGACATGTCCTTCAAAAATCCATCATTGATTTGGCGACTCGCTCGCACTGCTAACGCCAAATGAGTATTCCCTTGCAAACTTTTTCTGGTCCGAGAAGTTAGCGAAGTGAGCCCAACCAGTAATTTATTGCCAAAAGCTATGAAGGCAGCAAAAAATCTCCCCACTGGTGCAATACGACTTTAAAAAAGCCTTAAACATTTTTAAATAAAAATCTCACTGAATTATTATTAATTTAATAATTTTTATTCGTAATTTAATCTATTTCTTTTTTTCGCAATTAAAAATTAATTTTATTTATGTTATGACAAAATTAAAATAAAATAACCCTAAAATGTTAACAAATCTTATCGTAAATTTACGATACTTTTTATCAAACGATTCCTTTTTACAATTCCTTATGATTCCTTCGAAAAAAAAAACAAACTGCTTATAAAATCAATTTGAGTAAAACGAACGATTCAACCTATTTAATTTCGTAACTTTTTAGAATTTCAACAAATTTTAACTGCTAATCCTAATAATAAGCAATTTTCTTAGGCCTTCAGCCTCCACTGCTTGCTTATTCTATACTTTCACCACTTTATTACTAAACCAAGATCATTTATTTGCCCTATTTTCCAAGTTCAAAATTTTAAATTTCATCAAGTTGCATTAAAATCGGTTAGAAAATATTTATAACGATTTCTTCTTCTAATAGCTCTCACCATTATTGGCTCCACTAGCTACCAGGATAAAGGTATTTGCAAGGATGGACACAATTTCCATGCCTTCAGCAAACTAATGAATTTTCTTAATCCTTTAATTTATTAAAAGAAGTCATTAAACAAAATCACCTTGTTCATTTGTTACTATAATATTCAAGATGTATGAATAAATAAATTCAAATCAGCAGATGAATATTGTTAACCTTAATTTCTGTAGCCAAATTACAAATTTGGCGAAAATTTCGTGAAAAACACATTAACGACCGAACCAGAATGTATCAACGCTAACTGATTTACTTATTGACAATTTATTGTAAGTTATCGTAAATTTCATAGAAAAAAGCACTAAAAATATGGTGAATTTTTTTCATCGGTTAAAATGAAAATCATAAAATTTTTAAAAATTTTTCTAAATTTTTTTAATTTAATAAAATTTTGTAAAGAACTTCCCATTTATAGATTTGAAAAAAAATGAAAAAATAAAAGATTTTAAAATACCAAAAATGAAAATTTCGTTGTAATTAATTTATCTTCTTCCATCGTCATTATATTGAATGCAAAAATTTTTTAAAGAATCATTAATTTGTAAAAATCAAATAAAATAGTAATTGGAAAATTAGAAATCAATTGGAGAAACCAACAAAAAGTAAAAATGAAACAAAATGGAAAATAATAAAAACAAAGCAAATAGAAAAAGAAATGAACGACTGCCGGATCGAGCAGAAAAAACGATTTAAAATTGATTTTGACTAAACTTCATTCCAGCCTTAGGCAGTTTAAAAAATTAATTTTAGCTTCACCTATAATCGCTAACAACTGCTAATATATGGCGAAAGCATGGAAAATATTTTTATGGCTTTTATTTTTTTATCTTTTTAGCGATTTTTGAGCATATTTTGTTTTGCTGAACATTCTTTAAAATTAATTCAAAAAGTAGAAAATGTTGCCTCAATCACTACTTCTGGTTAGCTATATTAGCTAGGAGTTGCTTGTTGCTGGGAGTCTCTTGAGGTTAAGAACAAAAGCATGACTTCTCTGCGACGCCTCGATATTCTCGACATTCCGATTTCATTTTTTTTGGCACTTTCACTTCCGCCAAAGGATAAGAATCAACTGTCAACTGCACTGCGTTTATTAATCGAAGCAACTTACTCACTCTTGCAATCTAGAAAATTATTTATTAATGGACAAACGCCCTAATTTTCTAGACTAGACAAGTTTCCTGGCCAATAAATAGCCACCCACTTCCATCATTTATGCAAAAGGATAGCTGATTCTTGTTGATTTCATTCATAACAACACGATTTCAGGTTTTATCAAGCATACATGATCATAATAAACCTGTCGCAAATATAGTCTCATCATCAAAGCAAGATGTGAGCAAAAAAACAAAAAATATAAATTTTTATTTAAAATATGTTACAATTTGTATCACAAAGGAAAATCACTCTTATAATAATTCTCAGCAATTTTTTGCATTTTGAATATTTTGAAAAAGAATATTTAAAAAACACAAAATCATCAATAAAATCAAATCGAATCATTTCATTAAAAATTTCAAAAATTCACGAAAAATTTCAGTAAAAAAGTGAAAGTGGAAAAAAAGCAAATGATGCAATTTAAAAAAACATTATGCGATTAAGCCGAAACTAAGCCAAATTTTTTCCCCTTTAAGGCCATTCCGTATAGTCGTAATCAAAAACTGATAAGGATCAAACCATGTTTTGGAAAAACTAAAACTAAAACGATGAGAATTCGTGATTTTATTAAACTGACTGACAATGAAGAACAAGGGGATGAAGGCAAGAGCAATAAAGTAATGATAAATAAGAGTGAATAAAATTTATATCCAAAAAAAATAGCGATATGAGTTAATAAGATATTTGACAATGGTATAGCTGAATATTATAAAAATAACCAAGGATACGAAAAGTGAACAAAAAAACCTTATCTTCTAAATCCTTATCATTCCTCACTTTCTGGTAATTGGAAAATTAGAAATCAATTGGAGATTTTTCTCAGAAATCTTTAAATTAGAATTTATAGATTTAAATTACAAATAAATTAAAATTTCTATAGCTTATTTTATTATCACTTATTTTATCACTTATCACTTATTTTATATTCTCTAAATCGTGAAAAGACAAATCAAATCAAATTTCTTACTTAAAATGACTATTTAATTAAAGGTTACTTGAAATTATAAGCATATACAGAATGATTTTTTTTCAATAAGCGAATTATAAATCCACTGAGTTAATAAACTGAACATTCGAACGATTGAGAAACGAACACCTTACTTTCACTTAACTGATGTAAAGAATCACTAATTTTCTCCTTTTCACCTATTTATATCAAAAAATGAAAGACTAGGATGTGGAAAAATGTGGTCGTGGAGAGGTGGGATTTACGTTTCTCTTATAGCAGACATAGCAAAAATCTAACTTATCTTATTACATAATTCTTCAATTATCTCCTTCAGATTTTCCGATATAATGGAAAAAAAATTTTAATCAAATGGGTAAAAATCTTTACTATTCCATGATAAAAAATCTGTGTAAAGCTTTAGGTGTAGAAATAAAAAAATTTGTAATACTTCGATATTGAAAGAAAATAATATTCCACTTTCCAAATGATCAAAAATATTTTTCCACTAAAAAATGCTGAAAAAGAAAATAAATGATGTGACAGAATGTGAAATGCCAACTTCTAAATGGAATAAATAAATAGAAAACAAGATTTTAAAAAAATGGAAATAAGTGAAAATAAAATAAAAAAGCAACTTGCCCTTAAAAAATATAAAAAATTCATTTTGTTCAAAGCGATTCATTTATTTGCAACATCGACGATATTAAAAAAAAGGATGAAAATTCTTAAAAAACAATTTATTCAGAAAAGCTTTAAGAAAAATGGCATTATTACCTTGGGAGTTATTCTTTTAACGCAAATGCTTGAAGGATAGATTTTATATTTTAGAATTGAAGGCGACTGGCTGGTTTTTAAGCATTTTTATATAAAGATGCCAATGAAAACAATTTTTTGCTAAGATTTTCATAAAAGGTAGCTTGTCTTTCCATAAAAGCAGCCATCATATTTTTAAAATCTTCACCACGTTCTCGATGTTGATAATCAATTTCAGCTAGCATTGCATAGCTTACCGAATCGAAACGCGATCGGACTTTTTCAGATTCTGAGGCACACACTTTTCCTTCCATCGATAATCGTTCATTTTCATGCAATTTCGATACCGCGGACTATCAAATTCATTAATTTATTATTGAACAAACACAACAAAACAAAATTTTAAATTTTTAAATGCCTTGCCTTGTCTTGAATTTTATTTAAAAAAATAATTATACATAATCATCAAAAATAACCTTATAGACGTGAAAAATATCAGGAGTTACAGCGAAAAGGCCTTTATAGCAATAAAGTGAATCTAATAATGGTTCTAAATCTCTTTTGGCACTTTCTTCATATTCATCCCCAATTTTGTGAAAAATATGAGCAGTTTCTTTCAATGCAGCAGTAACTTTGAGGTTTTCTGAAAAATTGCGGAACAAACGATAATCGATGGTCAACAGAGTATAAGACCTAATTATAAAAAATTTAAAACAAAATTCTCAAAGAACGGAAAATTAAATAGAAGATTTCGTGAATAGATTCACCCGCCATATCTAAAAAATAGCTCAGCTTGTTTCCTACTTTAATATGGTAATTGACCGAATAATTGAGAAATTTTTTAAAATTTTTCGAATCTTGAGCAGTCGTATTTCTATTCCGCTATTTTTTCACGCTTTTCCGAAATATTTTTAGTATTTCTGTGAACAAGAAAGTTTTTTTCTAAATTTAAAAAACAAAGAATTGAAATAAAATATGTATATATATAATATAAAATAATATAACGTCTGCCTTTGACAGGACTGAACCTATCATGTAAAAATACGGGTGGTTGCTGGTGACCCACCAGTAACTCTATCCCCAAGTGACTCTATGGTGAAAGGGTTAGATATTTTTAAAACGGCGTCCACGTTTTCCGACGCGCATGATACTTCCAGCCCGGCGATACATGCGATAAGAGCACAATCCGGGTTTAGAGCGATCCCAAGGCTGATAAATAAAATGTGCTCGCAAGCCAGGGTTACTGCTCGAAATCTATCAAGGGATACAGCTCTCTGCACACATGGCGAGGTTTTAGCCGTATCAGAGTGTAACGTCAGAACGCTTATGGATGTTGCGAGCCAAGCGATAACTGTTCACACCACCCTTTCTAAATATCATGTGGATATCGCTTGCCTTTCAGAGGTTCGTCTTCCTCACTTTTGGTCTCGAACAATTATTAATCCTGGTACAGAGCAAAGATACTGGCTATATCACTGTGGTGCTTCGAATAACTCGGGACGAAATGGCGTAGCGATTGTCATGTCTGACAAGGCCCATTCCGCTTTGATTGAGTGGAAACCGGTAAATGACCATATGGCCTATGCTCGTTTTAAGGGTGAGTTCAGCAATTTCTCGGTTATCAGTATCTATGCTCCAACTCTGTCGGCAGATGACCGTGACAAAGACAAGTTTTATGCGGAACTTCAACTGCTAACAAAGTTTCTACCGAAACATGACATGATCATAATCGGGGGAGACTGGAATGCTCGCGTAGGTCATAAACAGCTGCGATGACTTCAACAATTGGCAAATATGGCATCGGAAACCGGTGTGCCAATTAATTAAATCTTAACCAGTCGCTGTTGGAAGAGTTCCGTACTAGATAGTCGTTCCTATCGCGAAGCTGAAACAGGCAATCTTCATGGATCTGACCATATTATGGTTCGAGCCAAGATCCGCATAGAACTGACAACTCACACAAAACAGCATCCCCCAANTTCCTTCAAACTAAACTATCTCAAACTAAAAAATTCGGGGATTTCAAGTGAGCGCATTTCAAACCGAATTATTGAAGCATCTCGATGATACAAATATCAATGATTTTTCTGGAACGGCAAATGAATACTAGTCCAAACTAAAGGAATGTCTTCAAAAATCAGCCACTTCCACTACGCTAGGGCATACTAGTAGGAAGTGCGCTATCGGAAGCAACTGTCCAACTGAAAACTGTCTGAAAAAGCTGCACGAATGTCAGGTGATCTTGATTACCGGCTGCTTCGAAGATTTGATTTGCAATGAAAGCAACAAGGTGGGGCAGAAATCACTATTGGGAGTGACATAGCTTCAAGAATGGAAGCGGCAGTTCAATTAGGCGACAATAGGAAACTATTCTGCCTTCTTCATAAGGCAACTATGACTCGGAGAACGATCAGTGAAATGGTGAGAGATAGCAGTGGCGTCGTACTAATCAAAAGGATCGAAGGATCAAAGTATTAAGGATCGCCTCATAAGATGGAAAGGCCAAATTTAACCATGAAGCGCCACCTGTTGCCCCTGATATAGCTGATACGTTTCCGAAGCATACGCTTGCAATTGCGAGCCTCCAACAGAAGAAGAAATAATTTCAGTTATCCATAAGCTTAAGGCCAACAAAATTCCAGGAGAAGATGATTTTCAAATGCTGCCCATTGTCCTTCATAACACACCTTCAACAAATTTATTCTTTAGTATGGAAAGAAGAAATATTACCAGATGATTGGAGCAAAGCAATTCTGCTCCCAATTCTCAAGCAAGGTGATAGGACATAATGCGACATTTATTGAGGAATCAGCCTATTAGACGTCACAGCAAAAATTTTTGCTTCCCTGCTACTCAACAGACTTATGGAAGGACGGGACAGCAGGATGCGCCCTAATCAAGCTGGTTTCAGACCAGGGCGCGGTTTTGCTGACCAGATATTCACGTTAAGAAGGATGTTGGAACATCGCTTCAAATATTTGCAACCCACTGTCACGTGTTTCATCCATTTTGATAGAAAGGCGCTTTGGAGAGTGATGGAACGTGACGGTTTTCCGGAGAAAATAATTACATTCATAAAGATATTTATGAGCGCACGTCGGCGCAGATTGTGTATATGGGGAGATTCTTTCGAAATAAAAACAGGTGTCCTTCAGGGCTGCGTCCTTTCCCCCACAATATTCAACTATGCAATAGTCTGGATAACTGCTTATCGGCACTCAAGAGGTGTCCGAATTAGTCCAGAGCATTGTATCATATCTTTTACGCTGATGATGTAGTCCTTTTTGCTGACAGTTATAACGAAATGCAAGTAACCTTTTTGCTGACAGTTATAACGAAATGCAAGTAATACTAAATAACGTGTCAGAAACTGCAGGAAGAATCAGACGCAGGATCAATGTAAATAAAACGAAAGTCTTTTCGTCTTATATGCAAGAGGCTGATAAAATGCCTCTTTTTGTAAATTCATTGCCGGTTGAGGAAGTGCCCGATTTTAAATACACCTTGGGTCCACTCTAATACCAAATGGACAGGCAAAAGATGATATTACAACTCGGATCACGGCAGCTAAAAATGCGTTCTTCCGGTTGACGAAACCTTTATGGAATCGTCGTGAAATCACCATAAAAATGAAAGTCCGCATTTATATTGCCGTAATCCGTTCCATTTTACTATATGGTTCTGAGACATGGCCAGTGAGAGTGGAGGATATTAAGAAGTTATCCGCTTTTGACCACTCTTGTCTAAGGTATATTTTATGGGTTCGCCGAGTGGATAAAATTTCACAAGATCGCATCCATCTTCGTTCAAATACCACTTGCATAAATAATGTTATCACAGAGCGCCACCTTCGCTGGTTAGGGCACATTTCTCCGTCATCCTCCACAGGAGTTAGTGTATAATTCGTTATTTGCTAAACCGTGTGATGATTGGCGTCAAAATACGGTGAGAAAAGATTTTGAACGTATAGATGGACCAGCAATATATGGACTTAAATAATGGGAAAAGGAATGGCTTCCATTACTGTCGACGATGGCATCAGACCGCGCCGTTTGGAAGCGTCTTACCCTAGTAGTCATTGGAGCCAGCCTAACCAGTTATGATGAGGGCTGAAGAAGAAGAAGAAAAATTCATGTTTTTTTTCACAAAACGATCTGCCAAATTTCAACCGATCAATTTTGGTAATTAGTTTCTTATGAAATAAATCAAACTTTGCCAATGCTAAATGGTATGTGTTGCCAGTGATATCAATTATGCCATAAATAGCCAACCATATTTTATCAGATAAAATGATATTTCATCACATAGTCACAAATCATCATCCATACTCACCTTCTAAAAAATATTTCTCTGAAAGCCTGGTCTAATTATGGCTTCATATTTTCTCTTCAATTGTACTGCTTCATGTATATTCTATATTCTTATAAACTTATTGTACAAATTTTTAAAATTTAAAATTTTTAAAACAAATATAGTAAAAATTTACAGTAGCAGATTCTTTTATTCATATTAGAAAGTTGATTATTCAATGATGCTTCATCCAGGAAAAAAATTTGCTAAATAAAATAAAATTTGATTATATATTATATTATTATAAATTATATTAAAATATATTAATATTGTATATAATAAAAGTCTTTCATAAATTTTTAAGTATAAATCTTTAGAAATCTTAAATTTTTATCCCACTTTGCAAATTTTAAAAAAAACTTTTAAAGAAACATTTACCAAATTTTTTATGTTAATATGAATAAATAAACTACATTTCTGAGATTAGTTAGTTACCAGTTGCATAATAATCAAAATCAACAACCCATGCGTTCAGCCAGGCTATCGTAAATAGTTCATTTGTACAAGACAATAATCTTCTTCTAACAGCTCTCACATTATTGGTTAAGCTGGCTCCAAGGGCTATAAGGATAAGAAATTTCCAAGTGGCGCCGTCTAATGCCATCGTCGACAGTAATAGAAGCCATTCCTTTTTCCATCGTCTAAGTACTTATATCGCTGGTCCACCTCGCTTTTGACGCTACCCATCGCGGAATTTAGCAAGTAACGAAATTTGTATCAACTCCTGTGGTGGACGACGGAGAATGTGCCATATCCTTGCGAAGGTGGGGCTCTGTGATGATATTATTTATGCAAGTGGTATTTGAACGAAGAAGGATGCGATCTTGTGATACCTTATCCACTCGACGGATCCGTAATATGTACCTTAGACAAGAGTGGTCGAAGGCAGATAACTTCTTAATATCCTCCACTCTCATTAGCCATGCCTCGCAGCGATATAGCAAGATTGAACGAATCAAGGCTACATAAATGCGGATTTTTATTTTTATGGTGATTTCACGACGGCTTCATAAACTTCAACCGGAGAAATGCATTTCTCGTAACCCTGGTTATAATATCGTCTTTTTGTCTTATTCACTATTAGAATGGAGCATGATATTTAAAATCAGGCACGTCCTCCGAAGGAAATGGATTAATAAAAAGAGGATTTTATGATCTTCTTGTAAAAAACTTAAGGCGAAAAAACTTTGTTTTTATTTACATTGAATCTAAGTCCTCTGAGTTCGATTCTCGCTGCAGTTGCCCGTTGTTTAGCGTTATTTGCATTTCGCCATGTTAGCAAAAAGAAATATATATTCAAGATCCGTGATACGATACTCTGAATTGATTTTTCACCTCTTGAGTGCCGACAAGAGGTGTCCATTATCCACTCTATCGCAATGTTGAACTGAGGAAAGGACCTTGACGGACACCAGTTCATTCTTCGAAAGAATCTATCACTTTCTCATATACATAGATCTGACCCGACGTATATGCTCTTAAAATGCCTTTACGAGTCGAATGATCTTCTCTGGAACATCCTCGCGTCCCATCAAAGCGCCAAAGTGCCATTCTATCAATTGAATCGAAGACAGCCGCAAAATCGATTAAACACGTGACGATGGGTTGCAAATATTCGAAGCGATATTGGAACGCTCTTCTTAATATGAATATCTGGTTAGCGAAACCACGTTCCAGAATGCAACTTGATTAGGGCGCTGTCCCGTATTTCCATAAGTCTGTTGAGTACAATGGAAGCAAAAATTTTCGATGAGACATCTAATAGGCTAATTCCTCGATAATTGTCGCAATATATTCTATCATCTTTCTTGAGAATTGCTTTGCTCCAATCATCCGGTAACATTTCTTTTTTCCGTACACAAGACAAGACAATAATCAATTTTATAGTAAATTTTAAGATCTACTTGTAAAATTTCGAAATAAATTAAGCGATCTTATAGAACTGATTTTGGAAAAAAATAATATTTTCACAAATGCTTTAGATGGAAACCACAAATTATATTCATAATATTTATTTACCTTAAGTCATTCGTTTGTTTTTTAATATAATTTATCACAGTTTTTTCTACAGGTACATTAAAATGTTCAATATGAAATTTTAATTTATGAATAGAACCAGTTGAATCTTCTCTGAAAGTGAACTAAAGTATCGTTTTTTCAGCGGTCGTGTCTA